ACCTTGATTTTTTTTTTATTTTTCATTTTCTTCTTATTTGGTAATCGAAAACACCCGAAAAGAAAAATTTAAATACCTTAATAATAATAATAATAATAATAAAATTTAGGTACGCGATGAATGAAAGGAAAAAAAATAAAAAATCTAACATTAATAACTTCATTTTAAATTTAAAAACCCCGGGGGAGACGGAGACTAAGGAGAGGGAGGGAAAAGGGAAGGGCAAGGGGGGCGAGGTTAGGGAAAGTTTTCCAAGTGAAACGAATCATTATTATTATTATTACGTCCGAGAATTGGAACTCGAACCATATCGAGATAATTAATTCCAAAAAAGAAAAAATGTCTAAAATTTAAATATTTATAATAATATTCCATTGAAAAAAAATTAATATTTTAATAAAATATACGTCTTTAATAACATGGTAACATTGACAATAAAATGACGTCATACGAATATCATTTTGAAAAAATTAATAATAATAATAATAATGTTAATAAAAAAAAAAACGACTGGAAAAAGAAAAGAAAAATCTGGAACCGACATTTTTTTTCTTTTTTTTTTTTCCTCGTAGACGTTAACTAATATTTATTCAATTTGTTAATTTACAAATTATTTTAGTTGAAAGAAAAGTCAAAAAAACATTTCCCACCCATTTCCGCCATTTCAATAAGAGAGAGAAAGAGAGAGATAGAGAGAGAGAGAGAGAGAGAGAAAAAGAGAGAGCGGACCGAATTAAGAGTATTTAATTTTCCAGAGAGGTTTAATAACTTTAATTTTCCAAAATGAGGATTTACCTTATTTAGTGCGCAAAAGATTAAAATTAAAACCTTTTAATGCCTTAGACGAAGCGCAAGCTCTAAAACACGCACACGGAGCACAAACCCCCGCTCCCCACGAAACCTGCCCCTCCCCTCCTCTTCCTTCATTTTCCAACCACGGGCACATTTAATTAAAGTTAAACGAAAGAGAGAGAGAGAGAGAGAGAGAGAGAGGGAAAAGAAAGTTAAAGTTGTAAAGTCGCAAAGTTTTTTACGTTTTTTTTTTTCGTTTAGTTTTGATAATAATAATAATAATAATAATAATAATAATATTAATAATAATAATAATAATAATATTTTTATTAAGTTTTATAATAAAAAATTTAACGTTTACAATCGAGTTAATCGATCGTATGGCGATGTCCAAAATTTAAAAAAAAAAAAAAAAACCGTTACAACTCGAACAAAAAAAACCTGAAAAAAAAAAAAATTTATTTATTTATTTATATGACGCCTTCTTCTCACTCTCTTCCTCTCTATCTCTGTCACTTCCGTTATTTAAATCGAACGATATATCGATATGTATGCGATAAATTCGATTTAAATTTTAAGAATATTTCATGAACGATAAAAAAATATTGTAACACATTGTGAGAGCGTTTATGTAAATGACTCTAAATTCTGAGGCGAGACAACAAAAATTGAAAAACTGGAACGGAATCCACAGGACGCAATCAGCCTAAAACAAAAAAAAAAAAAAAAAAAAAAAAAAACAGAAAAACAAAAAGTTTTTAAAAAACTTTTCAAAGTTTTTTTTCTATTTCTCCCCCCCCCCCAAATCAAGGGAAATAATAAAAGTTTTTATTTACTTTACAAGAGAAAGCCGCGAACGGTTGAAAAGCAAACGTTTCAAAACGAACGTTATGTAAAAATCGAAAGAGAAAACAAATTTTTAAATTTGAATTTAAAAAACCGTTAAATTCGAACGTTTCGAACGAAACTTTCCGATCGGTTTTCACTTCCTCTTCAAGAAGGGGAGGGGAGGGGTGAGAGTTTGAATTGGACCAATCGGAACGCTCGAAACGAAACGCGCGACGAGTCACGTGACCGCGACGTGCGGCGGGATTTATCCTACGTAATAACGAAAAAAAAAAAAAAAAGTTTTGTTTTGAAAACTACTCACGACGTATATGAGTAAAAATTTTTTTTCCAATTCGGATTTGGACGTTTCGAAATCTTCGTCGTTTAAAAAATTCAAACCTAAGAAAAAAATAACGATGGATATGGGGGAAGCCAAACTTTGATCGAGGAAAATTTTCTTCGTGATCGACGACAAATCCGTTCCAGGTATGAATTTATCGAGTATCAAGTAAAAATAATGCGATATGGGTCCCAAAACGGTACCTATTATTCCCATGTGAACTGCAGGATGAAGGGGAAAAAAAATTTTTTTTATTAATAATAGTAGAACGAAAAAACAATAATCGAACGAATCGATATATATATATATCGTTAATCGATGTATCGATATCAACAACTCACGGTTTCTTTTCCAGTCGAACGAATCCGTGTGTTCGTTATCGTTTATGTATTCAATTTCTTGTTGCAATAAATCTCCGAGCGACATCAATACTCCAGAACTTATTGTGTTTGTTAAAAAAAGATATTTACCGAAAATGTTTTTAACGGTTTTTTTAAAAAATTTACAACTTTTACTCTCGAATTCCGGCGGGCAAAAGCTAAATTTTTGTCCTTTGTAAAATCTTTTCGCGGATAACGCTAAGTAAAATTTAAATTGAAACCTTGAAACTTTAACGGTCGCTGAAAACATGACAATATTTTTTTTGACAATGTTTTTTTTTTTTTTTTTTTTTTTTTTTTTTACGGTTGTTTGTCGTTGTTTGTTTGTTTGTTTTTTCCGTCGGTTGTTTTCGATACGTTTGCTATTACGATGATTTAATACGCGAATCTACCTGTGAATGTTGTTGTTGTTGTTGTAATTGGAGGCGTTGGTTGTTGTTGTGGTGGTTGTAATAATGTTGTTGTTATTATTATTATTATTATTAATTTTTCGAATCGGTGACATTGTTTTCGACTTCACAGTTATAATAAAAAAGTTTTTATTTTTTATTTTTTTTTTATTTTTAATTTTTTAATTTTTTAATATTCGACAAATAATTGATCATTCCGTGATGGACAACAACAACAAAAAAAAAAAAAAAAAAGGAAAAAAAAAAGGAAAAAAAAAATTTCACGTTGGAAAAATTTGTTTGTTTATTTTTATTTTTTTATTTTTTTTGGTATTTAATTGTATCGTGGATTTAGATGAAATTTTTTGTTTTTGTTTTTGTTTATGTTTTTCCACCGCCTTGTCGACGGTAAGCGCGTTAACCGTTGTTTGTTTACATTTACTTTTTTAAAATTCGTTTTCGAATAATTTCCCCGATTCGAATAATTTAAAGTTTTTTTTTTTTTTTTAAACAAAAAAGGGGGGTGGAGTGGGGGGGGGGAAATTTTCCAAAAATTAATAATAATAATAATAATAAATGTATGAAAGGTTAATAATAATAAAAAGTTTAAATTAAAAAAAAAATGTAGGTTTTAAAAATGCGCGCGTATTGATTTATTTAATCGTGACGTAAGACTCGAAAAGCGGCGGGAAGAGGAAAGGGAGGGACGAGGGAGGAGGGAAAGGTAGGAAAGGGAAATAAATCCATTTTCGACTTTTCCTTCCAGAACTTTTTTTTTTTTTTTATATATACTTTTTAAACCTTTGAAACTGAAATCAAATTTATTTTACTTTTGCAAATAAAAAAAAAAAAAAAAAAAAAAAGTTTTTGACCGTACGTGACGTTTGTAAAAGGTATTTTCTAATATAAATTTTTTAGTTAAAACTTTTTATTATTATTATTATTATTATTATTATTATTATTATTATTATTATTATTATTATTCCGAGGGCTTTGATGGAAAAACGTTTTCCTGTAGGATTTCGTTCGAGGGAAAAAAAGGAAAAGAAAGGAGAAAAGGTAAAAGAAAAAATTACCAAAACGACGACAATGATGATGATGATGATGATGATATATTGTATATAAAAATGTAATGACGGTCAAAATGAGTTAAACATAGAATTAAACGGGTAAATTTAATCGTCAATAATGGAATCGTCGTCGTCGTCGTCGGAATTATCAGAAGAGGCCGTTATCACTTGGTTGTTTTTAACTTCCGGTTGTCTCGTACCACGTGACGGTTCTCCGGACGACGTGGCTTCGCGCGACGATAAATTTTCTTCATTCGATGGATTTTTATGAGTGTCATCACGTGTCGGGTTGTTGGTGGTGGTGGTGGTGGTTCCATATTGTTCGTGAAGTTCTTCCAACCTGTTGGATAAAAAATTGCTTTTGTGTTTTGTTATGTCGACTTGTCTGACTAATAGTTTACACTGTTCCTCTAAATTTCTCAGCCTTAAATCTCTCGCTTCTCTTGCTCTTTCTCTGCTGACGACATCTTCTTCGGCGTTCGGCGATTGAACGGATTTATTTAAACGAACGGGATTCGGACGGTTTGATTTGTTGTCTTCCGCGACTTCTTCTTCTCTTTCAAATGTATTTGTAACATCTTTTTGCGTCGACGACGATGGGAAATTGTAGTCCTCGACGTTTCTTTCCCTCTCCGCGTTCAACATGTTCGAATCGACGGGTGATTGCGTGTTACTCCTATCCGCGTCGTTTTCGAAATCTTCTCCGCTTTCGTTTTGTTCGTCGGAAAATCCACTTTCCCCGGAATCGTTGAGATTCGATGGATATCCTTTGTTTTTCCTAGCAGCAAATTCTCTCCGAAGTTTTTTCCATTCCGTTTCCGATTCGTCGTTTTTCTGCCTCGCTTGTTCCCATTTGTCCCGGCAGTATTCCAATTCTTGTTTCAATTCGCTCAACATAACTCTCTTTTCCTGAAGTTCGTACCTGGAAATTATTATTATTATTTTTTTTTGTTTTTGTTTTTCTCGTAAATAGATTTTCTTTTTTTTTTTTATGTTGACTCACCTTAGAATTTTTTCGTGGTTGTGTAGCTGTTGGTGTTGTGCTCTCATCCTACCGACTATACCCCATGTTTTATGTAATTCGCACTGAACTTGAGATAACCTAAGGATAAAGAAAATTCTTTCACGTTACAAAGTTTTTCGTTTTTTAAAGTTGTCTATACTGTTGTTTTCTTACCTCTTTTCTTGGTCATCCAATCGGGTTTCCAAATGAGTGTTCAACTGTTTCAACCTGCTCAATTCTTTTTGCAGTGATTTTTTTTCAAGTATGAGGTCCTTGAGCCTGATAAACGTTTTACTCACACTAATAACAGTTCTGGGACCGTTCGGCGTGTCGACACTTTTATAGCACTGCTTTTCGTCTCCCCTGACGGACTCTTCCGGTACCGAATGATGGTGGTGACTCAGGAGTTCCATCAAAACTTTCCATACTTTGGGCAAGTTCGATACGATTTCTTGTACGGCCGGATCGACGTGTTCAAATTTGTTGACGTTTTCGATTTCACATTCCGTTAGGGAATTTTCCATTTCTTTATCGTCGGCCACTGTCGTCGTGGTTTTAAACAATTTCGCGTCTTTGTAGGACACGATGGGTAAAACGGCACCTTGATTTTCCCTTAGCAAACTTTCGCTCTGATCCGAAATTGTATCGCACGATTCCGTCATGACGTCGGTTTTACATTCGGTCAAACCGTCGACTTGCGTTATCAAATCGAGCAAAAGTTTGGGTAGAACGGATGCCATTTCGCTACTGTCTTCTCTCGTCGTCATTTCCGTTATCAAATCGTGATTTTCCTGCAAGAGTTCAGCCAATTTGTCCAAGTCGGTTTCGTTTCCGGTATTGAACGGACCCAAGAGCATGTGAGTGAACATTGTGTTTATTAAATTTATTTCGTTTTCCAAATCTTTACATTCGGCTATCGTCAACCTGAGTTCGGCGTCTATGCTTTCCTTTTCTTCCCGTTCGTTTTTGGTTTCCTTTTGCGACGATTCCAAATCGTTTTTGAGATCGTGAATTTCTTTTTCCATTTCTTGAACCGTTTTTATTTTGTTTTGTAAATGTTCGTCTAATTTAAGGCGTTCGACTTCCAACAACCGAACTCTTTCCTCGTACAAAGCCTGAAATGATAGGGGGAGAAGAGAGATAAATCACACACACGTTCGTCCGTTCAAAATTCTCGTAATTTTTTTTTTTTGCATACTACTCACCTTCAAACTTTTTATGTTTTCCAATTGTTTTTCATATTCGACTTTGAGTCCGTTTTCTTCCATGATTTTAGTTTTCTTAACGGATTCTTCGATGTCTCTCAATTGGACTTTCAATTCTTGTACTTGACACTCTCTTATCGATAACATTTGACGCGTTATCGATAAAACTTCTTTGAGAGCGTTCGTTCTTTTCATGATTTCTTCTTTTTCCTGATCGTATTTTTCAAATAATTTTTCCCTTTCCTCTTCCCAATCCGATTTTTTCCCATCGTCAACCGTTTTCCCGCCGGCAACGTTTGTTTTTTCAATAATTTCATTTAATTTTCTCTGAGTGTTTTCGTGTTTTCTCTTTTCTTCGTAATATTCAAATTTTAATTCTCCCAAATTTAAATTCATCGAATCCAATTCGGAATTCAATCTTTTAATTTCGAATTTTAATTTGATGTTTTCGGATGAAACGTTTTCCAATCTTTGAACGTTTTCCGTTAAAATGTCTATTTCGTTTTTAAGAGAATTATTGTCACTTAAAACGGTTTCCATCGATGAGGCGGCATCCGGTGGCGATGACGGTGGCGATGACGTCGACAAAAGTTTTTCCTCTTCGTTCGATTTCAATTCTCTTTCGAGTTTACGCCTGAGAGCTTTTTCCGTTTTAAGCTCTTCTCTCAAAGTGTTCATTTCTAATGACACGGCGGATAGTGCTCTCTGTCTGGCTTCTCTTTTCGCTTTTAAATCCGCTCGGAAATCCGTGAGCGATTTTTGACGCGTTTTACTCTCGTCCGCGACGGAAGAAGAATTTGAACTCGAACACGATGCCACGACGGCATTCCTTTCCAAATGTTCTATCCTCGATTTGCTCGTTTCCAATTCTTTGACGAGATCTTCGATTTTCTGATTTGATTTCGATAATTCTATTTCGCAATTGACTAAATCCACTCTCGCTTTTTCGCTGACCTCAATTGCCAGCCATTTTTCTTTTCTTTCGCTTGCTAAATGTTTTTGTAATCGGCTTAATTTGTCTTCGACGGGTTCTCCGAATATGTAATCCGGATCTTTATCATCTGCAAAATTTTAAAATTCATTTAAATTTACTAACTCGTGCTATTTATCATTATTATTATTATTATTATTTTGGTTTTTTTCTTTACCTGTTTTTCCTTCTTTTTCGTCCGAGTCTTTTTGCGATAATCTTTTAACGGTTTCGGCTAATTCTTCATTGGCTTCCACGAGTCTGACATTTGCTTCCGCCAAATACTGCATCGTTATACCAAAGGGATTGTCATCGCAATTTATTCTCACATCCAATCCTTCGTGATTATTTTTAGTCAGGTTTAAGGAATGGTTGTTGTTTTGAAGTTTTAAAAAATTCTGATATGGATTTCTATGGGTTTGAATTGAATTTTCCGACGTCGAAGGTTCATTTCCGTCATTCGAACTTAATCCCTGTTAAATGAAAAATAAATTTATTGTAAAACAAATATGCGGAAAATGTTGTGCGTAGGCGGAAAAAAGGTTGTTGTTACCGTATCATGTCCATCCATTATATCTCACAGTTAACGGAAATAAAAATCGAACGCGTCGAACGGCGGTTTTTTTTTTTTACACAAATACAATTCACTTGGAAAAGAAAATTACAAATGACGACGATCAAACGAATGGAGTCAATTACAAAGGCGGAAGGGAAAAAGGGGGAGGAGGAAGGGAGAAGGGCAAAGGGGAGGAAATGAAATAAAGAAAGAAAGAAAGAAAGAAAAAGAAATAATTTTTTTTTTATTAGAAAATGACATTTTGACCTCGAACATCAAAATTTTTGTTTTTTTTAAATAACAGAAGAGAGTTACAAATAAATACCCTTTGGATAACGGCCAGAGAGAAAGAAAGAAAAGAACGAGTCAAGTACCGACATCGGCAACAGCATCAGCAAAAGCAGCAGCAGCAGCCGTTTTTTTTTTTTTTTTTTTTTGGTTTTCGGGCTTTTCCAGTCGTTTCAAAATTCCGTAATGATAAAATAATGATGATGATGACGACGACGACGACGTTCGCGAACAATTCAATTGTTTCACTCATTAAATTCTCTTAATAAAGGATTAAATTTGAAAATTCCAGATGCCGTCGTTTTGTGTTGTTTTTTTTTTTTTTTTTTTTTTTTTTCATAAGTCGCCATGTTGATTTCGAGACGTAAATAAAATATCGTTCGAACGTCTTTTACACGTGACGGTGATGTTGAAGATGAAGGTGATGGTGGTGGTGTCGATGGTCATTGAACGAACGCCTTTGCAAATTTTTTTTTTTTTTTTCTTTGTGTTTTACGAACGGTTGATTTCTTTTATTATTATTATTATTACTATTATTTATTTGATTTAAATTGTTGCTGTCGTTGTTTGTTGTCGACAACAACGGATTCGGAGATCCGATTCGAAAAGAAAATTTTTGATTATTTTTCGAATTGTTTCGGGAAAAAGGTTGTTCGAAAAACGATTAAATTAATAATAATAATAATTAACAAAGAAAAAAAAGGATCAACTGTCGAAATATTTTGTTAAGATGTTTTTCTTTCTCTCTCGAAAGCGGCCCTTTTCGTTTGTTTGTTTGTTTTTTTTAATTAAAATGAAAAAATTTCGTTTTTGGTTTTAATTTGAATTTAAATCTTAACAACCCGCAGGAATTGTCGAATTTAATTGACGAAAGCCAGACGCGAAAAATTCCCGAGAAAAAAAAAAGAAGAAGAAGAAGAGAAAGAAAGAGGGTTTTATTTATTTATCTATTTATTTATATTATAACGAACGCCATTTTTAAAATGATCAAACGTTTTTCCAAATAATAATAATTAATAATAATAATTAATTTAAAAAAAAAAACAAAAAAAACTTCGAGGAAAATTTTCGTTGGTGAAAATTATTAATCGATTGTGGTGACATCACACGGTTATTAAACGAACTAATTTTTCCTTGGCGGACAAAAGAAAAATGGCGTCGAAAAAAATTTTTGCAATTTTGTGTGTTCTTGTGTTGACGGTTTTTCTTTTTTTTTCGCTCCAAAAAAAATGATTGGATTGATTGAATTTTGTGATGTCGATTGCGCGTCAACGGACTCGCGGGTTCTTGGGTCTTCTTGACTCCTCTTTATTGATAAAAAAAAAGGAAAAAACGGGGGGGGGAAAGGAGGAAATGGGGGGGAATGTTTTAACTGTCGTCTGTTGATGATTAAAAAACACGAGGTGGAATTTTTATTTTTTTTTTAAAGCTCGCCAGCTTTTGTTTTAATGATTCTCTCTCTCTCTCTCTCTCTCTCTAATTCGTGTTTTCTACTCTCGTTTTTTTTTTCCTGTTGTCGTCTGTTTAAAATCTGACGTCGATAATTATATTATAATCATCATCATCATCATCATCGTCATCGTTCGAGGTTTAAGGTTTTGTTTTTTTTCGGAAAATTTAAATGTAATGTTTTGTGACGTCATCGTTTTTAAGGAATGAATGTCTTTGATTGAAAGATTTTGCTGTCGTGTTATCATCAGGACGTTAAAACAACAACAACAACAGGAAAAGGAAAATATGTTAATTGTTTTAGAAGGTTGTTTGTTGTTGTTGTTGTTTACACGTCCTTTCGTTTGTCCGAATCGTTTTTTTTCCCCCGTAGGAATTATTATTTTTACAAAGGTTTATGGCGGTGACGTTGTCGGGGAACCGGCGGGGAACCGTCGGGGCGATTCGTCTCGTAATTTATTAACAAAAAAAAAATTAATAAACTTACTCGAAACGTTTCCGTCGGATTTTTTCCGCCATTATTTAAATTCGATTGAGAACTCGAACTGGTGCCCATTTATAAAAAAAAACGAAAAAAAAAAAATTTCAAATGAAATATATATACGTTTGCCCGATTCGATTTATTCGATCAAACTGAAAAAAAAAAAAAAATGGAAGCCAAATGAAAAGAGATGAAATTTTTTTTTTATTTTTAATTTTTGTGTGATTTTTTTTTTTTATATGTGTGTGCGTGTGTGTGTGTTTTGAATCCTGCGCGAGAGAGGCTCGAGTAAAAAAAAAAAATTTACCCCGTTTATTTATCCCGTTTCTCCCCCCCCCCATCTCTTCCCGAAAAAATTATTTTTTTACGAGGTTTTCCATTTGTTTCTAATGAGATTTCACGTAAATTTCATCCATTCAAATTTTTATTGTTTTTTTTTTTTTTTAGAAAACTTTTCATTGTGCAAAATGTCGCAATTTTTTCACACGCACACGCACGCACACACACGCACTCGTTTTATTATTATTATTTTATTTTTTTTATTGTTTCCGCAAACGTCAATTTTTTTTTTCGGAGAGGGGAAGGAGGGTGTTATTATTTTTATTAATGATTTGTTTAACGACGGAAAAATAATGACGTAATTTTCTGTAATAATAATAATAATAATAATAATAATAATAATAATTTTTTGAAACAAAACGATTTTAACTTCCGGGTCTTGTATATATATATATAAATTTATTTTAAGAAAAAAACATAGAATTCTTTCTCTATTAGGGAGTCAATGCCAATGAATACATGCACGCACACGTACACGCACTCACACACACACGCACACCATTTTAATTTATAAATAGATTTTCTTTTTTTTTTTTTTTTTTCTTTTACGTAAATCGTTTACGGCGGTTCGACAAATGAATTTTTATTTCGCGTTTCCTTCTATTTTTATTATTATTTTTTTCTCATTATGCAATTGTGATTGTTTGAAAGCATTGAAAAAAGTATAATCGAAATTTTGAAGGCTCAAAAATAAATTTTCCTTATTTAAATTTGATTACGATTAACGTGAATGAAAAGAAAAACACGTGCACGCGTACGTGTACTCATTATCACGTGTTTAATTATCTCACGCAAGCGAGTTTCAAAAAAAAAAAAAAAAACAAGGAAATTTTTTACGGGAATCGGAAAGAGTTCCCGGGGGAAGGGAGGGGGAAAGGAGAAAGGGAAGGAATATCGGGAGAGGAAACTGATGTCAATGAAAAAAAATCTTTTTTTTTTTTTTTACACTAAAATTTACTGTTGTTTTTTATTCTGTTAAGGAAAAAATTAAACGAAGAGGCCATTTTTTTTTTTTTTTTAATTTTTTTTTTTTTCTATCTTTCTTTCTCTCCTTCCTCTTCACTTATATCTAATTAATGCCAATTTAGTTTGGCCGTTTTGTATTAAAATAGCCGAGGGTTTATCTTTTGTGACGTCATCATCATCGTAACCGTCATCGTTGTTGTTGTTGTCGTCGCCGTCGCCGTCGCCATCGTTGACGTTTTCGTTTTCGTTTTCACCATTTTCATCTCCATCTTCTCCTTTTATTTTTTTCGTCGTTTTCCTCTGGAGAAATTCTAAATTTTTCTCGTACCTGAGTGAATCTTCGTAGGTTTTCAATTCCGTCGCAGGTTCGTTCGAATCGTTTTCGTCCTTATAATCGTCGCTTCCGCCGCTTCCGAAAATGCTTCGTTTTTCGTCAAGATCGTTTCCGGGTTCCGAGGGCGGTATGTCGACTTTATACCGAGGACTTTCATCCGTGTACGATTTTTCCTCTTCGGGTAATTCGTCCGTCGCGTCGTTCCATTCCGTTCTCGAAGATGCCAACGCTTCGTTGTTTCTTTCCTCCGGTAAATTCAATTCTAAATTTTCTTTTTCCGAATTCGAATCGACGTTCGTTTTTTTACCGACCCCCAAATTCGTCAACGCCAAATTGAATTCGAATTTCGGGGATTTACCCGCGGAATTCGATCCCGTCGATTTTTCGTTTTTCCCAAATTCCAAAATCATTTTCTGTTGTAGAAAATTTTTATTATTATTCGAATTGTCTTTCGAATCCGTTTGCGTTATTTTAATTTCCAGGGATTTGTTGTTTTTCTTATACGTCACAACGGAATTATCGCCTTGTTTCGAATCTGAAGCGATAACATCGAACCTGTTGGCACTGTCACCCACGTGTTCACCTTTTTTATTTTCGATAGCCAGGGTATCGTTAGTCGCCATCATCATCGATGATTTTTCCTGCGAAGTCTTGGGCGTGAAATCTATCGACAATTGACACGTGAATTTTTTTCCCTTTCCAACCGTTTCCGGTTTTTTTTCCGCGACGACTTGATCCTGATTCATGGTCATCCATTCGTCTCCGTTTTTAAAAGGTTTTATTTTCATGTCTTGCGGAATGATTGCCGTCACGAGAAAATTATTTTTTTCTCGTTTATCTTCTTGGTATGAATTTTTAAAAATGGCCACTTCTTGAGATTTTTCCGGTTTCGTTTCGGGAGATTCCCCGTTGTCTTCGTACGCATCGTAATAATCTTCGTTATTTCCCAAATCTTCCGGATTAATAGTTTTCTCGTTATCCATACTTTTGTCCGCACGATCATCATCATCATCATCATCATCATTCCCTATGACTTCATCATCATCATCATTGTCATCAGGTTCGACGGGTACTATGCTTTCTTCTATTTTGTCCTGATTACCGAATTGATTCGATTCGGTCGAATTGTCTAAATTTTCCAATTTTCCAGATGTTTCGATTATTTTCCGATGAACGGTTTTGGCTGGAAAAAATAATCGGAATGACTTTAAAAAAAAAAAAAAAAACGTTTTGTTGTATTGTTGTTTGCAACGAGACGAATGATGACACTCACGAGTGTTGTTGTTTTCCAAAAGAGACCAACAATCTTCCATTTTGTCGAAGAGTCTCGGTTTTTTCGGGCTCGTACCTTCGTTTTGACTCCTAAAACTGTGAACGCTTAAACTTGGTAATTCTAATTTCGAATCACGTGACGGACTTTTACCAAACGAACGATTTATTCCGATGTCTTTGAGTTCCAGTTCGGATGTGCGTCGTATGTCGTCGAGTACGGTATCCGTGTCGTCCACGGATGACGATTCTTCCGGAGGCTGTTTTTTTTTTTAATAATCGAGTTTAACGTTACAAAATTATTATTTTTTTTTTTTTCCCCCCGGGATCCGTCGTTACGTACCTGCGGTTTAGAAAGGGAAAATTCATATTCGCTTGCCACGTCCGAATTACTACTACCCTCGTCCAAACCGTCGACGTCCTCCGCATCGCTCCCGTATTCCCGACCATCGTTTCTCGTGCAGGAAAAGGCTTGTGCCAACTTGACGGTTTGATTCAAATCGTCGACGGATTTGGCTTTTTCCTGCAAACTGTTTATCAAATTTCGAATCGTTATTTCCTGGAGTCCGATGACGGCTTTCAATTCTCTTTCTCTTTTCGATGTTTTCTTACCACGCGGATGTTCTTCCATTCCGACGTAGTTGACTTTTTTAACTAAAATCTATTTTCATCAAAAAAAAAAAAAAAAAAAAAAAAAAAAACCATTTTATTGGGTAGGTGGTTCGCGGTCTCTTTGAACGGGCGAACGGGCGAACGTTTAACAACATGTTTTTTGCACGTTACCTCCGTATTTCCGTTGACGACTCTCACGATGGAATCTTTTTCCAAAGATTTAATAAAATCTTTAACGAATTTTTCGTAGGCGCTCTTTTCCTTGTTCGCATTGTAAAAAGACATTTTTAATTTTTTCGATTCCGCTTGTAATTTTTCCATTTCTTTTTTCATTTCTTGCGTTCTCTCTTCCAAAACTTTATTTCTTTCCATGACGATTTTCAACTGGAAAAATTTTTTCAAAAAAAAAAAAAAAATTCATAAAACCAATAATCATTTTAATTTTCTTTTGTGAGTAAACGAATGTGTAACGAAAGGAAAAACGTTGGAAAATTCACGAGATGGACGAGGATTATTTTCGTATAAGAAGTATCTACTACTCGTATTGATGGGTCAATCAATATAAATCGAACTTTGAACTTTGATAAACTTTTTTATTATTATTATTATCGTTTATCGAAATCATTATTGTGGGTGATGTGTTTACCTTGTAGTCGGACATATCGTGACAAAGAATCCGTTTTTGGCTGGCAAACTCCGACATTCTCTCCACTTGAAGACCACCTACCTTTGACTGTAACATTTGTTGCGATCGTAGAAATTCTCCGCCTCTTTTGACATTGTGATGACATTTCTTACAATTGGTCATCTGGAAAGACATGGGAAATACGGGCTCGGAATGAGATGTATACGGATCGAGAGCATCACCATTGCCTGTAACCTTTCTTTGGAAAATTGTTGTTTTTTTTAAATCTCCAGGGTTTATTAGAGAAGAAATTGGTGGTTTCGCCCAATTTTTATTATTTTCTAGGTCCTGAAAGATTTATTAAATTAAATTAAAAACAAAAACAAAAAAAAAAAAAAAAAAAAAGGTTTATTAATGTCAGGTTAAGGCAATATTGGTTATGCCGCATGATCACATCCTTAACGACTAATTTATTATTATTATTATTATTATTATTATTATTATTATTATTATTATTATTATTACGCTACTCTCGCTCGCGTCCTTACCAAATTTTGAAAACTGTGAATCGAAGAGGTTTGAACGGTTCGCGCGTCCAAAGATGTCGATGACGGTTTGTTATTCCCTAAGAATATTCCAAAATCCGACACGGACGTGGATCGTAGTTTCGACGCGGGAACCAAACATTCCAATTCCAAAGAACGACAATTGGAATGTTGCACGTCGAAACGAAAATAACTGCTCACTCCCAATACCTAAAAAAACGAATATTTTCGTTAGGTTCGTGCGTGCGTGCGGGTGTGCACGTGTGCACGTGCAGTATTGCGTTCAAGAGACGAAGAGTTAAACGTACCTCTATTTGTTTACTTATATAAACGAATTGATAAAAAGAATTTTTGCTGACTGTCGCGAGATATTTTGGACAAAAATGAACGATCCTTTTTACGAGATCCCCATTTTCTTTATTGTTCTGATCGGGATTGGGATTTTCTACGGGATACGATTGGGATACCCATTCGAAATTAATATACTGTTGAAGGTTACACCAACCGCGAGGAAAAATTCCTATCCAATCTCTCGACGAAGGTTCGATCTGTAACAAAGAAACGAACAAACAAAATTAATTTTTCTTTTTTTTTTTTTTTTGCCGTTGTTGCTGTCGAACGTATGATGATGATGATGGAAAATTATTATTATTATTATTATTAATATTACCGTTGACGAGTGTTCGTATTCGAGCGTGATTTTTTCATTTTCCTCATAAACGCATTTAACATTTTTAAAAACAATCGAATTCAACGACGTGAATTGTACGGTGCTCAATAAGAATTCGTTCGTTAATAACGGTTTATTTATTTTCATCATGACGTCACAAAAACAAACCGATTATTTTTATTTCCGATGGGGAAAAATTATTATTATTATTTGTTTTTCTTTTTACTTTAAACGTTTAAAACTTGTATACAGGTACAACAACAACAACGCCGCCGACAATTTTTTAAAACTTGAAATCATTCATATATTATATTTATATGTATATGTAAAAATAATAATAATAATAATAATAATAAAATAGAATAAAAATTGTTATAAATCATTACATTATATGTGTATATATATATATAAAAAAAAAAAAAAAAAAAAAGTGGTTTTAACCAACAACAACAACAACAACAACAACAACAATGGCGACCGTCAACTTTTTTTGTTTTCTTTTCCCTTTCTTTTCTTTCTTTCTTTCTGTCTTTCTCTCTCTTACATATATATTAAAAATTATAAAATTAAAATATAAAATTAATTTGAAATGATTCGTCTGATAATCATTGATAATAATAATAATTTATTGTGCGTGTTGACGGTGTGCGTGTACGTGTGTGTGTGTGTGTGTGTGTGTGTGTCACGCATGGAACGATTCGTTTCGATTCGATTGCAAAGTTGTAAACCATGGACGACAAAAACACACAAACCCGACATTTTTTTTTTTTTTTTTTTTTTTTTCGTAACGTTTCATTAAATTAAAAAAAAATCATAGATGTTATAACGAAAAAGAAATTTATTAAATATCGGAGGCAAAACAAAAAAAATTAAATGTTATTATTATTATTATTATTGTTTGTTGTTGTTGTTCGATTTGTCAGTTATCTCTTTCCGATGGTGGTTTGTATGGATAATTTATGTACGCGAATATATCTCTTTCGCTTGTGATGGGCACCGGGTCACCGGGAACTCCTTAAAAAAAAAAAAAAAAAACATACGTCTACGTACGTCGCGAAAGTTGTTATTATTATTATTATTATTACGAAACGATGTCGTACTTATACGTAATGAAAAAAAAATAATAATAATAATGATGATTTTCCGACGGGATGTAATTTTACCTGTTTTTGTAATGGGACGAAGCGAATATTCGTTGAGGGTGTATCCCTGTTGTAAAGCGTGAGCTCTCATGTTTCTGTTAAACAAATCGGATCCGGTAAAATATAAAATGCTGCAAAAATATTGATCGTGAGGTGTCATTCGTATGTCCAACCTACGAGCGGGACTACCCTCATCCAGCTTGTAAACTCCCTGAAAAAAATTTACGAATGAGTACAAAACCAGAATTTTTCAGCTTCGGAGTAGTTTGCATGTGCTTTACCATAAATTTGGTATTGCCGAGTGCAATCGTGTCCGTTACCAAATCGTCATCTCGTAGTTTTTCCACAACTGTTTTTAACATGGAACCGTGATGAGAACTAGCACTTTTTCTAACATTTAAAGTGTAGTTGGGATGAGTGACTAAACAATCGACGTCATGACTGAAACGTTTTCCCCTACGATAACTTCCACAAATAGTAACTATTATTTTTTTTTTTTTTTAGAAAAGGATAATTAATAATTGCACAAGTTTGACAATTAAGGTACACAATAATAGTAAATACCTATGTATCTATTATCCACTTCTTTTATTTCTTCTTTTAAAGTTTTCTCAATGATCGATATTTCACTTCTGGGAATTTTCAATAGGAAATCGTGGAAATACTTTAAACCGATTCTTTGATGCTTGGTTAACTTGTGTTTGATTTTATTCAAGTCTTTGAGAGATCTGATCCCTTGTGCGACAAGTTCTCTAGCTTTTGATGGCCCTATTCCGGAAACTTTAGTGAGAAGTTGAATGGCTGCAAATTTTTCATTTTTTTTTATCTGAATTGTTGAAAAATACATAGAGATGCACATGACAAGTTGGAAAAAAGTCGATCAATTAATGGAATCGTGAATTTAATTAATTACCTTTTCTAATTTTGGTAACTTTCCAGTTTTTAAATAGATATCAATTTTACTAGCTATGCTTTTTCCTATTCCTGGTAACTTTAAAGCTTCTCTCCCTGATGAGATTTTTTTCGGATAATTAGCCAGTGCAAAGGCTGCTCGTCTGTATGCATTGTACTTAAATGAATTGTTCATGACATTTTTTTCATGTAATGCAAGTTCTGAAATAGCAAAAAAAATAATTAAGTGGGTTAAGGTTACCATTCGTTGAAACATTTTAATATTATTTACCGTTTAACATATCACATAATTCTTGATTCATATTTTTGTAAAGAGTGAATATTTTTTTACTCATTTGAGTTTACAAGTTAGGTTATGTACTACGCATTGTATTCCTCAAACGTTTTTAATTAAAAAAAAATGGCTTATAAGGAAAAAAATAATAATACTTTCTACGTTTTACCAAATATGAAATGAATTTGTGCAGCTTAATTAAATTGGTGAAGGATAATAACACAAAAACGAAAATTATTTTAGCAAAATAGAGTAAGAAAATAAATTTACGACGTAATCATTCCAAAAAAAAAAAGAAATTATTATTTTTCTAGTGAGTAACCTCGTGCGCGAACGAATACCGCAAAAGAAATTTTAATGAATTTCCGTTAAATATTTAATAAAAAAAAAAAAAATTTTTTTAAAATCATATTCTTCCATTTGTTTATATATAAAATATTATAACGGTAATCACCGCCCTCTTGAACAATTGTCTGACCTTTGAGAATGATGACGTACGTTTAGGAATTGATTGGATCGTTCAGTGCACACAAAATGGTCGTCGGTCGTAGTAATCGTACAAAGTGTTGAAGTGTCTTTATTTGTTTTCGGAATAAATTTTTTTTTATTTCTCATAATATTTGTTTTGACTAATCGTTATATTTTTGGATTATATCATTTGTAGTTTTTTTTTTTTTCTTTCTATTAACTGTAAGTAGTAAACCTTTTATTTAAAAATTTAGTTTACCTAAAAAAAAAGTGTCAGTAACGGTCTTAATTGGTTTTGGTTTTTTTTTTTTTTTTTACAAAGCTTTGCCTTATAAAACCTTTAATTTTTATATTTATTATTCTACTATTTTAAATTTTAATCGTTTTCGTAAATAGTTATGATTAATTAAATTAATTGACGAGTGTTTTAAAAGGGAAAATTTTTATGTATTAATAGAATTGTTATTCAGTTTGCAAAAAAAAATTTCATTTGTTGAGATCCAAATATTGATAGTTTGTTAAAAAAAAAAAAAAAAAAAATGACTCACACTGCGTTGGTGCTATTTTCTAACAAATTCTTCAATTTTATTTATTCAATAATAAATGAAAATGCAAAAAAAATTTTTCAAATTTTAGTTTGCCATATATGTGCACATATATATATGAAATTTTCAATTTTTTTCAATAATTATTAGTGTATGTGGTTGTGTGTGTGTGTGTGATTATATTCATGTCGCAGGTCAATATATAATAACAATAAATGTAGATTTAGTAACGATTGATCGGAGAATGGGTGGGTGGGTGTTGTTCGAGAAAATAAAATGTGTTAATTTCTTAAAACCTTGCAATGAAATTAATAACACTGTCACACACAGAAATTTTTTTTTTTCATACAGGTGCATTAGGTACGTTAACTAAACTGATTAACCTTGACTAGAGATATAACTTCTTGACTTTATATATTTTTTTTTTTTTTAATAAAAACAAAAATCAGTGCTTGTTCGAAATATAGTTTTTTTTCTTTAATGCACTCTACACTGATTGCATTTAGGTTGTTAATTTAGGCCATGTATATAAAAATAATTTAAATTATTTATTTATTTATTGCTCATGATATTTATAAATAATTGCAATTTTTTTTTAAAATTCAATTTGTTTTTCAGTCGTTAATTTTATAATTAAAATCGAATTAATTTTTTTTTTTTTAAATTAAATTAAATTGCTATTATTTATTCGGTGTATGTATGTATGTATGTAATTAATTAAATTATTATTATTATTATTATTTGTTAAATCGGATATTCTTTTGTGTGTGTTTGTTTCTGTGCGATCATATTTACATCATTTTGATTTATTTGTTTGTTTGTCTGTTTGTTTGTTTTTTTTTTTTTTTTTTATTAATTATTTACTTTATTGTTTTTAATGAGATTTTTTTTTTTTTTTTGTACACTTGTTTTATTTTCTATATATGTACTCTTTTTTTTTTTTTTTTTTTTTTTTATCAAATGCAAATTTAATATTAACATCATAATGCTTACTCATTTGAAGGTCACCATCACCATCATCATCATCATCATCATCATCTTTGTTATTCGTCTTGTCATTGTTTTTTTTAAAAATAAGATGAATGTTGCTTAATTGTAAAATTGATAGCTTCATAGGTACAGGCTCAAGGGGGTGGGTTGGGATAAGGGGGGATGGGGGGTTGAAGGAAAATGTATGTAAATCAATGTATTTGTAAATAATTATATGTAAGTTACTGTGGTGTAATTCGAATGAAAGTTTATTACAAAAAAATAAAATGAGAAAAAATGAGAGATAATGATTTCTATTTATGTTATTGTTCATTATTATTATTTTTATTATTATTATTATTATTGCCACATAATTTTTTGTTTTGTTTTTTTTTTTATTTTTTCACTCGTGTCATTATTTTTATAATTACATAAATTTTTGAATTTTTTTTTTTTTTTTATCAATTAATTATGATTATGCAATTTTTCTTTTTTTTTTACATTAGATAACTGATAATATATTTATTAATTAATATAATTATTACATAGTTTGAAAAAGATAAGAGAGAGAGAGAGAGAGAGAGAAAGAATTGTTAGTAGTAGTAATAATAATGATAATAACTTTTGAAGTGAAGAAAGATTTCCCATCATTGTGTGTGTGTAGGTTTAAAGAAAAAAAATTATATATTTATATATAAATTAATATATTTTGCAACGATCCGAAAATAAGTACAAAAAAAAAAAAAAAAAAAAAAAAAAAAGTTGGGAATGAGGCGATAGTTTAATTTACGGAGACGGGAGACGTCGAACGAACTCCCTTACGAAAAAAATTTAAAAATAAAAAAGTTATTTTCATTGCATATAACTAACCATAAGAGAGAGAGAGAGAGAAAGAGAGTGAGAGAGTCTACACGAAAAAAATAGAGAGAGAGAGAAAAAAGAAAAATTTGAGTTTAATTCATTTATTTATGTATTTATTTATACGTGAAATTATTAATTTTGTTAATTAAGGTGATTGTTTAATCGATTGATCGATCGATCGATCGATCATCAATTGTTTTTGTTGTTATTAAAAAACAAAATGAATGCGAAAAATATTTTTTTTTGTAAAATGTTGTATATTAGTCTCGATGGATGAATTTCTAGTGTTGCTTACGTGTATGCATGCAAGCATGAAGGTACGTACCTACCGTACCTACCTACGAATTTACGTGTGCGTATGTGCGGGGGAGGGGGGGGAAAGAACAATTATTTAATGAATGTTGTACGAAATAATAATAATAAGGATTCGTGGCACGATGCCATTGCGATCTCATTTTAAAGCACAATGAATATTTCATTGCCCCCCCCCCCCAAAAAAAAAAAAACTTATGGTTGTGATTTTCTTAATTAATTTTTTATATTTTTTTACAAAGGGAAAATTAAATTTTATTGTTTTTTTTTTTTTTTTTAAATTTGCGTCATTATTTTGTTCATTCGGTCATTTATTCCAGTTTTCAATATTTATTTGTCCGCGACACACGTGTAATGTAATAATAATAATAATAATAATAATAATTAACGAAAATCGTTCTGCGTGTTTGTGTGTGTGTGTGCGTGTATGTGGAAATGAAGAACCGAAAGAAAACAATTTAAATTGATAATTAACTTTTTGTTCTGCTGATAAGTTTTAATTTTTTTAATTTTTTTAATTTTTTTTTTTTACTCTATGACTCAAGAATTGTTGGTTGGCGGGGGGAGGGGAAGGGGGGAATAAAAATAAAAATTCTTCAAATTATGCCGAGCAGTGAAGCCATTAAAAAAAATTTTTTTTTTTAAATTGAATAATGAATCATGAAATATTTTGTTATATTATTATTCATTTCTCAATTATTTAAAAGAAAAAAAAAATGTTTAAAAGTTTGTCGCCATTTTGAAAATGAAATTCCAAAAAAAAAAAAAGAAAAAAATTGAAAAATGAAAATTTTATTCGAATTTGAAAATGGCGGATGCGATGGGTCAACAATTTGATGGTTGTAATTAATTTCTCCAAAGTATTTTATTTATTTATTTATTATTATTATTATTACGGTTATTTATTATTATTATGGTTCTTGTTATTATTATTATTATTACGACTCCTGTTTTTTTTTCTTAATGTTCGTCCCGTTTTTTTGCATGGCCTCTTCCCCCCCCCTTTTTTTCTTTTTTTAAACGTTTCCTACTTTTAATTTTTTTTAATTAATTTTTTTTTTTTTTTGGCTTGTTTGTTAATGATTGTTTGTTTGTTTGTTTTTGCTTCAATTGCCTTACGAATGCAAATACAAATGAAACGAAAAATGGCGGCGGAACGATAAAAAAAAAAAAAATGGCGTGCTCATTATTCGTCGTGAGGGGATTTTAAATGTGTGGGGTCGTTGTGTTGATCTCTCGTCCATCGTTTTAAAAATGGGGGAAGGAAGAAAAAAGTAATAATAATAATAATATTAATAATGATAATGGTGGCTAAATTAAATATTATTATTATCATTATTATTATTATTAATACATATTCGTGACGATTCAATCGAAAGTTTACTCAGTCAGTCAGTCAGTCAATCAGTCAATCACTTTTCTAATGAAGTCGGTTTAAATTTTTTTTTTTTCGGTTTGTTAATTTGTTTGTTTAGACTTTTTTTTTTTTTTTTTTGTAAACCTCCATTTTGTTTTTTTCTTTCATGTTCTTTCTTGTTCTTTTCAAAAAAAAAAGAAAAAATGGCCGTGACATTAAAATTATGTTACAATTATGTTTATTTTTTGTTTTATTTTGTCTTTATCTGAAAGGGAAAATATTTCAAAAAACAATCGATCGGGTTTTAAAGGCTCCCCTAAAAAAACGTTTTTTCGTTATTTTGGACAACTCTCTCTCTCTTTCTCTTTCTTTCTCTCTCTCTTTCTCTCTCTCTCTCTCTCTTTCTTTCTCTCTCTTTCTCTCTCTTTCTCTCTCTCTCTCTCTCTCTTTTACTCGTGACATCAAATCGATTAGTGCCAAGTTTTTAATTTTTTTTCGGTTGACTATGATTTCATTTATTATTATTATTATTATTCCATGAGGAAATGA